CCTCCCCTTGTGGTCAATGCACCTCCCGCGCCCTTGTTCGGGTCAACTATGTGGTTTGGCACCTTCATTACTCGAGACAGTGAAAGGAAGTGCACTTTTGGAACGTTAGTAGACCTTCGAGTTGACCTCAGGCCATGACTTCAATGAGCGATGCCCGGTGCGTGCGAAGAGCACCCCTCCCCGTATCCTTTTTGTCTCTTGCAAATTCCGCAAATCGCTTCAATTATACTGTGTTGCCGTGCTTTGCATTTCAACATCATGAATAACATGTCTTTACCATGCTTCAAGTTGAATCTGCCCCTCTTTTCCTTTTATACACATTGCATGCATACGTGCATTGCTTTACTTACATGTGTTGAAGTTCTTTTTATACACATTACATGCATACGTGCATTACTTTACTTACATGTGTTCAAGTTCTTCTTACACACATTGCATGTGTTATTGAGTTATACTTTACTTACATGTGTTCAAGTTCTTCTTATACACATTGCATGCGTTGTCGCGTTATGCTTTACTTACATGTGTTTACCTTCATAACATTGTTATGCTTGTTTCAAATCGTATTGTCATGTGTTATATTCAACTTGCATTGTCATGCACTTTCAATTGCATTGTTATGCATATTGCTAATGATATTGTACCTGTTAAGTTTTCTTTCTCTTTCAGGTACGATACTGTATGTACGGTTCATTTGAAGCTGGTGCAACCAGACGAGCCGCACAGGTATTATATCCTCCGAGTAAGACGTATCGAGAATTACATAATTCCCTTGCACCCTCTCTGCATTGTAGTGTAGTTTGGTTTGTGCTAGCTTAAAACTGTTGCATTGTATGCTCTTCGTTACAGCTTTCTTTGTATGATCATAAGTTACGCTCGGCTTTGTGCAGTGTCCTACATTTTGCCCCTGCCTTCGGGCGCATATCTTTGTTTAAAGCTTGTATGCATTGTCCAAGTCTTCGGCCTTGTCAAAAAGGGGTCGTCTCTGGGCTTTGACACTCACTCCCGTTATTGTTACTACTTTCGAGTTCTGTCAAAGAGGGGCAACTGTAGACACCCCATTTTTAACCGCCCTCAAGACTTGGATGTCACCATTTGAACACTCGGTGATCATCCACATTTGTGTTCGTCTTGAGTTCCCGGAGGTCTCGGCTACGCGCCTTGCCTTAGGACCTCTCGACTCGACTGTGTTGTGTTTGGTTTTGCACCAAACACTTGTGTTTTTGTTTGGAGGGCAGAGAATGGCTTGTTGGCCATCCCCACTCCTCACCGGCCATGGCTTGAGGCCACCGGCCGTGTATTCTTTCCATTGACCATTGGTGATGGCCGGTCGACACTTTGTGTGGTCGACCAACCATTTAGTTGGCCGATGGCATCCTTTTCTGGCCAGTACCACTTTTTTGCGTCTTGCAGGCATGGTGCATGCCAGCTGTGCCAGCTGGAATGCACGGACCCTGCCCCCCCATGCACAGGTGTGGTTGTTTTGAACCTTTGCACCCTTTTACTCAAGCTTCTCATGGAAGCTTGACCTCTTTTGGTCTAGCTTCCTCAATAAGCTTGGACCTTTGGGTTAGCTTCCCTTGGAAGCTTGACCCCCTTCTCTAAGAAGCTTAGCACCATTGCCTTGTCTATATAAGGAGACCTCTCTTCTTCATTAGAGAGGTTCAGCAAAATCAGACCTAGAACATATATATTCTGATACATACATCTTCTCTCTCTATATCTCTCTCTCTCTTTTCTTTTGTGTGTGTTTGAGGGCTTAAAAGGATGATTTGTTCTTACTTTTGCATTAAAACACACACCATTACACCATACTTCGACTTTGGGAGGTGTTGAGGGTTTATTCTTGAGGTTTTGAGCTGGTTTTGATCAGAAGAAGGTGGCTGGACTTGCTGTTCTTGAGGTGTTCTTCAAGGGTAACACTTTTGCTTTAAATTTCCCAATCTTGCACTAGCTTTTGACCTACTTTGCATACTGATTTGAGCTTCATGTATAACTGAAAAAAGTCTTGTATTTGCATGCTTAAGATACTTCATTAAGGTCATTTTGTTGTTTGGGGTCGATCTCCCCCTCTTAGGCCTTGTTTGGCCCTTTTTGTGCACTCTTTGATAAGCTTTGGGGACTTTTGTGTATTGGCCTTCTCACCACTGAAATCCAGTGGATTTTCAGTGGTGAAGAAAGGGTTTTGAAGTATTGCATAGGAGAGGGACACGCCTCTCCCTTGGTCCCTCTTTTGTTTGCATTTTTGGCCCATAAGGGTAGCATGGATGATTAGTTGTTCTTGGCTTCATTCTAGAGGTTTTTGGGTGTTATTGGGCCATATTATGCCTCTGTTTTTGGTCGGATTAAAGGTCCCTTTCATGCATAATATACTTGCTTTGTATTCTCCCGTTATGCCTAGAAGTGCATCATGCATTTAACCTACTATGCTCTCATGTTTTGGCTTAACTTTGTGAAGTTCTTAGCCATGTGTTACCATGCTTAAGGTCTGTTGGGAGCTTATTTGATCATATTTACCATGTTTGGTATAGCCCCTTTATATTTTGGCTTGTGAGCCTTGAGGGCGTGAGTCATGAGCATGTTTTAGTTGGGTTGTTTCAATGATTTGGAGTCATTTCACATGCCATTTCAGTCCCTAATCCATGTTCCTATACACGTACCCATCACCCTTTTCATGCCTTGAAGAGGTGTCCTTTTGTGCCTTGAAATGAGCATTGTGCATGCTTATGTATTTAAGTTTTTAGGGCTGCCATATCAGTGGGTTTTGGGGCATATTTTGATGCATAAAAACTCTGTTTTGGGTTGCTTAGTTCATGCCATATTTGCTTGGGGTAGGTGTTGAGCAATGCTCTCTTTTGTGGCCTTAAATACCTTCTATTTTGCATCCATTCCCTAGCATATCTTGGTGTCATCTTTTGCATGCTTTTTCAAAGTTTAACATGAGTGTTTAATGTCCAAGCATATTGCCTTTAAGTATGCTTAGAGTTGTCCCCTTCCATGCTTAGATGATAGGCCTTGGTGTGTGCATGCTTGCATGCATAAGTTGTGCCATTTTTGACCCTTTTGGCCACTGTTTTAGGGTGTGGCTGAGGCCTCCCATTTCAGTCTAAGTCCATTCTTGTACATAGTTGTATGTTTGACTTGTTGCCTCTCGTTGCATGCTTGCATTGTACCATGTTTGCATCACATGTTAAATTACATTGTATTGCCTCTTACGTGTTTAGCACATTGCATGCTTGCATAATAGATTGCATTGCATTTGGCATGTTTTGCATCTTAGCCTCATGTTGCATTCTTGAGCCATGTTCGTATACATGCATTGCATTGCTTGGTTTGGGGTGTCAAACCAAGCATGAGGATTGAGAGTATTAGTACTCCAAGTGACGTAACACGTCTTAATCCTCGGTCGCCGACGCCCTTGATCTCAATATGATAGGGTGTTGGCATTCATCTCTTTTGTTGCATGCATTTTGCATTGAATGGCAAACTTGGCCTCTTAGGCCATCATGCGTCAAAATGCATAATTGATGGCCCGAGGGCCGAGGGTCATGCTCCCTTGAGTCCATTGCATGATAGGGAGTGTAGCCATGCTCACATTTGCTTGAAAATTCCATGCCATACACTGCTTGCCCTCTGCTGCTGTCAACTACAGGATTCTGCAGGAAGAAATAGCTGGCCGGCTACTTTGAGTGCCGACCGACCAAATACAATTAGCCGGTGGCTCAACCAATGGTCGATGACCATTCCCTTCGGCCGGTGGTGTTCCCACTTGGTCGGTGATGCTCCCCAGTGTTCAGAGAAGCATCCCTGGGACTTGTGCAAATTTTCGGAGGAGCAGGGCAGTGTAAACAGAGGCGACAGTGGCATGGTACAGGTTTCCGGGCGAGACGAGTCAAGCATGCACCATTCGCGCATTCTGAGGCAGGGCTGCGGCCATTTTCCTTCTATATTTAATTCGTTAATTAATTAGAAGTTCTGTAATAATTAATTTAGCAGTATTCATTTGGTTGTGTAATATTTTTTGGACCCTCCGAGCGGGGGCAATTGTGTAATAAGTGTGTGTGATTTCGATGGTTAGTATTAGGACATATTGTCTTGCATGCACCGGGCTCGGCG